GGAATGAAAGTGAACGCAAGCAAGACGAAAGTGATGGTTTTTGAAAGAGAAGAAAGCAGACGGTATGTGAAATAAGAATAGAAGGAGAGTTAATTGAGCAAGTGAATGAGTTTGTGTATTTGGGATGTGTATTTAGCAGGCATGGTAGATATGATAGGGATATAGAACGACGAGTAAATGTAGGGAATTGAGTGAATGTGGCACTACACTCTATTATGAAGAACCAGAATCTGTCAAAAAAGGCACGTATGGTAATTCATAATGCTGTGTTAGTCCCTACTTTAATGTATGGTAGTGAAAGCAGGGTGTGGCAGAAGAAGCACGAAAGTAGAATAAATGCTGTAGAAATGTGGTCTTTAAGGAGTATGCTAGGTTTGAATCTAAATGACAGGGTGAGAAATTGCGTGATAAGAGATAAATGTGGTATGCAGGATGATGTTGTGACCATGATTAAGAAAGGAATGCTTCGGTGGTTTGGTCATGTAGAAAGAACGAATGAGGAAAGAGTGACAAAGCAAATTTATATGGCAGATGTGAACGGCCGAGTCGGGAAGGGACGCCCTAGAAAAATGTTTATCGATCAAATTGGCGATATTTTGAAATGGGGCCACGTTAGAAGTACCCTTAACCGACGAGCATGTATGCGTAGATATATGGATGTAAGGGAGGCGAAAGAGGTATGTCAGGATCGTGCCAAATGGAAGTCCGTAGTCTCTGCCTACCCCTCTGGGTGACAGGCGTGAGTGTTTATGTTATGTTATAAATTTGTACTGTTAGCAATTTTTTTTCCTTTTGTCTCATTTTGATTTTTATGTTACTGAGTACTATTAATTTTATTTTATTTTCACTTATATTCTGTTTATTGTGCATTTATTATTTACTATTACCAATTTAATATTACTTTGTGGATAACGGTGCTGGTTAATGACTAATATTATTTATAAAATGTTATTTGGTTTAAGCATTATTACGTAATTGTTTGTTGTCCTGAATAAATTAAAAAAATACACAGACCAGGAAGCAGGGAGCTGTAATGCCTTCCAGACCGAATTACGGTCACGGCGGCCTACCTCAACGGAGACTAGCCATCGGCGCAGGACCGGATTATAAGTGTCCAAGTGTATGCGCAAGCACGGAGGCAATCTCTATTCCCTCACTCTCATAAGCCGATGGGACGGTAAACCGACACGGGGATGAGACACCGCCTACTTCCTGACTACGGGCAGTTACTGAAATTTTCTTGACAGAAAAACTCAATTATTGATTTTTTGGCCCAACCCGAGATTTGAACCTAGGACTTCATGATCAGCAGCCGTACTACTACGACCACTAGACCAACGAGGCAGTCAAAGGGGGCAGTGGAGCAGTATAAAGGGTGTGAAAGACCTGCTAAATTGATCGCTAATCCGCTTGCCCAGCATGTTTGATTATGGCAAGTCCTTTTAAAGTTATATGAAAACGGGCTGCTAAGAAGAAAGTTAGAAAAAGAAAGAGATACAGAGATAAGAGACATAATAAAAGACTCATAGAAAGAAAGAAGAAAGAAGAAAAATAAAAGACTCTATCTTTTAGATCATATTTGCTAAGGCAAAAAAATTATTATTAGCCTTTCTATCAAATGTCTTATATTTATAACTCACAACCACATATTGCTGACCTTGTTGTTGCAACTTAATATAACAAATGCATTTGGCGACTTTGGTCTTATTTTCAATCAAACTCTACTATGGATCCAATATTCAAGTACTTAGTCGTATTTATAAAATTCGTCACATTGTTTGATTTAGTAATATCAGACACATATAGTGTTAAAGTGGGTACGGAACAGCATGTAAATTCAGTAGATAGCAAATTTTTAAGTTTTACGGTGGACCTAAAATTGCTTTTAAGTTCCAGTGAGAAGCATAACAAGTAAGTTTTTTTTTAATTTTAATCAATTTTGTAGGACAAGGGTGACAAACGAACGCACTGTCCACCTGATGATAAGTGGTTGCTGTTGTCCATAGACATCTACATCTATCCTCGATTCGAATCAAAATGCAGATGCGTTGTCACCCGTTAGGACTAAGACGGAATGCCTCGTTTCCAGTAAAAAGGGTCTCCGGATCTCTACACTCACCATACGAAACACAGCAGCTATTAAGCTGCTATTTTATGCTGGTCTTCAGTAAGAGTGTGATCTTTCCCCCGGTCGAGCCACCCATTCGCGCTACAACTATACTACTAATATAATTGCGGCATGGCTCTACCACGTAACAAAATTGTAACGATTATTAAAATTTCGATAAGATGATATAATTCCCATTTCAATATGGAGAGTCATTCGTTATAGGTCGCTTTCCCCATTTTATATGTATTCTAGTTACCTTGGCTTCGCCTGGACGGGATCTATTAATGTGTCGTTATTTAGATTTAAATTAACTAAAGATCATTTACCTTCTTATTCATAAAAAATTTAAACACTTGATTAGTTAAATAGTGTTTTGTCTCATTCTGATATTTGCGAGACACCTGTTGCTAGAAAGTGACAAAACACTATTTAATTAATCAAGTGTTTAAAATGTTTATAAATAAGAGGGTTATTTTATAAATTTTTCATTTTTTAATATATCCTAAATCTTTAGTGACATCGCACTCTATTTATTCATAAAGTTTCATCACAATATGCTCTGCCATTCCGAACATTAGAAAATTAGCTAGCAGACAGACAGAAAAACAGACAAAAACTTTTACAATGGTTAATTATATCCTGATAGCATGCAAATAACCCATTAAGCTTAATAGAAGCCACTTATTTTAGTATTACATACAGAAACTTCAATTTTATTTATATGTATCGATGAGTTGGTTAATTTTTATTATTTTTATAAGACAATGCTTGATTATGATCCCAGTTGATGTTAAGTAAGTGGGCTTTGCGTAACAGAACCTGTACACTACTGCCTTAAAGACAAAAGAGGAAAGCGAAAAGACAAACGCCATCAATTTATTTCACTCCTTTGCTTTACGCATTACGAAAACTAGCCATTTGGTTCGATTTTTTGCAATATTGTCTTTCATTAAATCACTAGCTGTGCCCAGCGTTTTTATCCGCGTATATCACATGTCCGAGCCGTGTGATATGACATGATAGCTAGTTCAAGTATTTTAGATAGAAATGTATGGAAATATTGGCAAAATTAATGGAGTAATTTTGTCTATCTCCTTCACCTTCCTGCGTGAATGTTACGCCCTTGCCCTCCAGAAAGTGTCCCGAAGCGCGTTTTTCAGTTTTAAAGAAAATCCTACACGATACATGAAAAGTGTGTAGGTAGGAAATAATCCCTGATAAATTTTCTATCAACCTCTTACACATAATAAAGCAATTTCACTTATAATTTCCACGCAATTTGCCACGAAATATGAACACTATTCATCATATACTCAATAATTAGTTTTCTCGAAAATTTTCCACTTTACCGCAATAATACGTATGACTAAAGTAAAGAATATAAACATGTTCTTTAAAAGGAGGTACAAAGGCAATTTATTTCTAAACTCTTTCATTGCACGTTGCAATGATATTTTAAATTTTTTGTTGATTAATAAGTACAAGAGGTTGATAAATTTATCATGAATTAATTCGTATATCTACACTTAAGATGTATCGTGTACTTTTTTCTATCAAAGTGGATAATACCGCGATTCAGAATACTTTTAAGGGCGCGAGGGAGTGACACTTACCCGGGAGGGGGAGGATGAGTGGATAAAATGTAAATTTGCTCTATGACGTACGTATATGCTGATGACCTGAAAGTACTCCATTAATTTTGCCAATTTATATTTTTATATTTCGCTGGATGGTCGAATCAATTAGATTTTCGAAATAGTGTATCAAAGTGAAACGAAGGAGTTTAGAAATTAATTGTACCTCTTTGCAACTAACATATTATATTCTTTACTTTACTCACACATATCTTGGGAAATTTTTGAGTAAACTAAACGTTGAATATAAGAAATCGATAAGCGATAAAAAATGTTCATATTTCGTGACAGATTGCACGGAAACTATAAGTGATGTCGCTTTTGTATGCGCTTCTGATGATGTCTCGGTTCTTGGACTCTTTTTAATTCCCGAAGTCCAAACGGGCATACAGTCCACCTGATGGTAAGTGGATACTGTAGCCCATAGACATTATATATATCTACATTCATCATCGATTAAGAATTTCAATGCAGATGCGTTGATAAATCTGAGGACTACGATGGAATGCTTCGTTTTTAGTAAAAAGGGTTTCCAGTTTACTAACCATACGAGTACGAAACGAGTAGTATAAAAAAAGAATGATATGAAATGATAAATAAATATGAGTAAACCTAAAATGATTCTGACATTTTATTATCATCATAAGATCTCTAGCTTTGGACTTGTACTGGAAACGGTTTTTGGTTTTCCTGGTATCTTCGTTACGGAGAATCCGTACGCAGAAAAAAGCAAAAATACTCCGCGCACAGCACTTTCAGTAGCTCGCTGAACTTCATGTATACGCGGTAGAGCTACGAATATGTTGCAGCTAAATTATTGTTGTAGCACGTATGGGTCGGCTCGGCCGGGGAAGGACCATGCTCTCACAGAACACCAGCGTAAAATAGCAGCTTAATGCTGCTGTGTTTCGTATGGTGAGTGTAGATTCTTTTTTACTGGAAACGAGGAATTCCATTTTAGTCCTCAGGGGTGACGACGCACTTGCATTTTGATTCTTATTCGAGGATAGATGTAGATGTCATGATGTCAGGTGGGTTGTGCACTCGCTTGTCACCCTTACTCTATAAAAAAAGTCAATACGAGACATTCTTGGGAACTGGGAGATAACATGTATGTCCAAAGATTAAGAAAACAACAATCGATATTTTATATTTATTTTGAGTTAGAAACATAAAATTCAGCCTTTTATTTCTGAGAGGGTTTTGGAATAAGAAATCTCTTAATTTCTTTTTTTTTCAGTAGACATTGCGTATGTATGGCATCATCTCTAACACCAGCATACATCCGTATAGCTGGACCTTCCACATCACACATGAAGTTTAGAAACTCAACCATCACAATAGACGATGCAACGCCACTAGTTAAAGAAGACCCTGAAAAGATCGCATTATCACTTCTGACGGGTCGAAAAGACCGTCGATTGTCCATAATTAATAAACAGTGGCAGAAATTTGTACATTGGGCCAAAAATACCGGGTTCGATGTAGTGTTTGCTTTGAACAATGCGGAGAAGACGTCTTCGGGTATGTGGGATCCCAATGGTGCTCTGAATATATTGTCAGTAGCAGAAAAGGCTAATATTGGTGACATAGTCTGGCAGTTAGGTTATGGTAAGTATCTATTCTCTATTTTTGCTTATTAAGGAAACTGTTTAATCAAAGTCTTAAGATGTATTTATGTGACATTATCGAACCTTTCTAGAATCATCCATAGAAGTCTGTAGCTGGAGATGATCCTCTTCCAGTTTAGAGAGATGTCATGATTACTAACTTGCCAAGTTGCTTGACAATTGCAGTAGCAGTCTTGCAGCTTCAGTATTGTTCTCCGTCGTCGTTGTTGTCGTCCCTAAACTATAAAAATGTCAATGGGCATATTTGACAAAAAAAGATTTTTATAGCATAAGTTTGACAAACTAGCCACATATTCCACCTGATGGTAAGTGGATGCTGTGGACCATAGACATGTATATAAAGTAAAATGCAGCATAAGCAGTAAAAAGAGTCTCCGGTTAAATTTGGTCCAGTCGTTCAAAAGTGACATGATGACCGACAGATGCACCAACTGTTATATAATATTAAGATATATTTTCTTCTATCTGTCCAGAATGCACCAACCAGTCCATTGAAGAGTATCTCAACGATTTAGAGACACTCCGAGTGATTGTCGAAACCTTCCCCCCTGGTAGGTCTCCTTCGTGGCGGGTAGTAGGTGGGGATGTAACGCCCTGCCTCCAAGCCGACTCAAAAAGTGACTTTAAGGACTACATCAGCTTGTCCAACGATATGATGGATGCAATATTGCTCAATGGGTAACTCTTACTTTATTATTATGTTTTTTTTCAACTCTACTCTATGGTTTGAATGCGTGGAATATCGACAACATAATGTGAAGAGCCGCTGACTGCCTAGTTGTCTGACGATGTAAAAGGGAGGGAGGGATTAAAGCATGAAAAGCATGTAACTCGTGTGCACACTGCGAAATGCATCCTGTAGAATACCGAGATGCTGGCTACTCTGCGTTTATGCTCGAGTCTGACAAGATTGGTTTCAATAAAGTCAAGGTTACCAATAAGCTTCTTACCACGTCTCTCCACTGAGTCCAATGCTGATAGGTGGCATTTTGTAGCACTAGACTATATGTGACAGTAGTACTCCACGCATGACCGCACTTGCGCTTTATATATCGGTCACTGTTCAACGGTTAATTTTCATTACTTAAGTTACTTATTATGGGTGAGAAGCAAGCATATAATCCACCTGATGTTAATTGCATATTGTGGCCCTAAACATACCTAAATCTGCCCGCCGATACTAAACTGAAACTTACAAGTTGTTACCCCTCAGACTCTAGTTGTTACCAAGTAGTCATCCCTGAGGCCTAAGGGCTAATGAGTCGTTACTAAACGGTGAAGAAGACTTCAGTGTTCGTCACTCACCACATGAACAGCAGCATATTGCTATTTTATGCTAGAATTACTTGAGAGCGTGATTTTCTTTTAAATATGATAAGCTAACGTAAGCCAGAAAGTAACGTAGAAGTAAGTAATATAAATAAGTAATAGAAATAAGTAACGTAGAACAGTGTAGAGGTGGGGTAGGAATATCAACTATGCCCAATTTATTTATTTATTTCAGCTTTTACGTGGTACTTTTTTACGTGGTAGAGCCATGCTGCAATTATATTAGTAGTATAGTTGTAGCACGAATGGGTCGGCTCGACCGGGGAAGAACCATGCTCTCACAAAATACCAGCGTAAAATAGTAGCTTAATGCTGCTGTATTTCGTATGGTGAGTGTAGAGAACCGGAGACCCTTTTTACTGGACTGCATTCCATCTCAGTCCTCACGGGTGACAACGCATCTGCATTTTGATTTGTAATGGAAGATAGATGTAGATGTCTATGGGTCGCAGCAACCACTTACCATCAGGTGGACTGTGTGCTCGTTTGTCACCCTATCCTATAAAAAAAAGCTATATTTGTATACCAAGTACGAAAAGGCAGACTTAATGCCACAAGACATTCTCTACCAGTCTGACGTAGACGTAGAGTTAGCAGGAAAAATATATGCGTGCAAAGTGCAAATAAGTTGTAGTTTAAAAATTATGTTCTAATTACGAGTATATACCGTCCCGTGAGTGTCGTAAGCGATGACAGAGATACGAGTATAGAGATATAGATAGACAGCAACTACTTTTTTAAATCAAATTTTGGACGTGGTTGAGATAAATGAGTAATATGTAATGTAAATTTTGAAAAAATTGTCTTTTTTAGTTGGGACTTAATTCATTGATTTATTGTTTTATTAAAATGAAAATGGGAACACGCGAAAATAAATATTTTTTTCTAACCATGACAATGCTTTAGCAAGTTACATCCATGCACCTCTGGGAATTATTTTAACCACTGGTACATTACTATGATAATTGTACAATTGATCCGAAAAAAGTGAAAAATTTGTGCCATTAGGGATTTTACTAATAGAGTTACGAATTTCTACGGTAAACTAACTGTAAAGCCGAAATACTTTTACTATGACATCGTTTAGTATTATTTTTAATCTCCTTTTACCTTTAAACAGCCTACCGTTGGTACAATTTCGACACCGTAGGAAATCCGGCTGTAAATGTACCGGAATGCTGATATTTATTAAAAAATGTTAAAAAATGTAAACAAATATCTACAGCACTCAAAAGTCTATACAATATGTAACTTCGTATTGACGTGTTGTATTCTGAAACCTTCCTGTTCAGAAATAATTTATCTGTTTTAAATATATTCTAGAGATTTAATTTATATACTATAGTGGTGTCATTATTTTCTTCAGAAAGTTGACTTCTGAAGAAAATAAGAAAGGCTAGGACTACTATTCCTAATAATAACTAGTAAATAAAAAACTGCGGTTGACAACTCGCCAGTCAAGCGGGCCAGTTGCGGTAAATGTCCAAGTTAGGACGTAGTCTATTGAGGGGCCTGTGTTTAGGTTTATGTCATGTCACGTACTCGTATGTTTGATAGCCTGAAATGGATAGTAAATAAACCAGTGCTTAACTACTATCCGATATGATGGCAAGGGGGGATGTACTCGAATGGTAAAGGGCACGGACTTAGCTTAGCAAAAGTCTATTTACTTATGCCTCGAAGACAAGAAAATTGTAATCGGATAGAAAGTTACAAAGTTAGTTGCTGTCAAATTACTCTACAACTGTACCTCATTATGAATGCTTTCCCCGGTTGTACCAACCCACACGTGCCACGGCTTGGCTCTGATTCTGTCAGTAAAACCTAATTCTCTTGAGTAAGGACGGAAATCATTGCATTAAAATCTAACAGAGTCGATAGTCTTAGTGTGGTTTTACAGTGACGCTTTCGCCAGCGCGGTTGATAAGCGTCGCTGACCACAAGCGTTGCGTCTCTTGGATCGTTACATAGTGTAACCAACACGCGCGGATGGCCCGCTCTGGCGGCATTCAGCCGCGCGGTTCCAACAGTATACAAAACTGCGCGACTCTAAGCTCGTTTTATAGTTTCGAGCGAGACATCCGCGCGTGTACGGGCCGCGCTTACCACCCGCGCTGGCGAAAGCGTCTCTGTAAAACCACACTTAGGCACATTAGCAGGTTTTAGCTTAGGTGTATATGTAGTAGAGCCACGCTGCAGCTATATTATGGTTGTAGCATGAATGGGTCGGCTCGACCAGGCAAAGACCACGCTCTGACAGAATACCAGCGTAAAATAGCAGCTTAATACTGTTGTGTTTTGTATGGTGAGTGTATATCCCTTTTTACTGGAAACGAGGAATTCCAGCTAAGTCTTCAGGGGTGACAACGCATCTGCGTTTTGATTCTTAATCGAGGATAAATGTAGATGGCATTGTCTATGGACCATGGCATCCACTTACCATCTGGTGAACTGTGTGCTCATTTGTCATCCTTATTCTATAAAAAAATAGGTACTTAAATTTGAAAAGGTAATTGACTTTATTCCAAAACCATTTGAGATTTCTGTCAATTTACAAAAAAACAAATTAATAACTTTTCTTTATATGAGATTTAAAAATAATTCACAAAACATTTTTATAGGGTGGCATTTTATAAGAGTCGCAAACGAGCACTCATTTCACCATCAGGTAAGCGGTTGCTGTAGCCCATAGGCATCTACATCTATCCTTGATTGCGAATCAAAACGCGGATGCGTTGTAACCCGTAAGGGCTAAGTTGGCATGACTCCTTTCCAGTTAAAAGGGTCTCCGGTTCTCTACACTCACCATACGAAACACAGCAGCATTAAGCTTTCTGAGAGCGTCCTCTTTCCCTGGTCGAGCCAACCCATTCGTGTTATAACTATGCTACTAATATAGTTGCAGCATGACTCTGCCAAGTGTAAATGTGGTAGAACCATGCTACATCATGTGTGTTCATGTACACCATATTAAGTGTGTAAAATGATTACAATCATTTGTTTGTCACAGGAACTCCTCAGCTCAGCAATTAGAAAGAATGTCGGAATCAGATCGTCGCAAATTGTTAAAACTTCTAAGCCATAGTGACACACCTCTGTGGCTGACTGAGAAAACACAAAGTCATTACGACGAGTTGGAGAGAGCTGCCGAATGGCTCGCCAGTCTTGGTTACTCAGCAAGAAATGGGTTTTCAATGCACTTCAGGGAGTTATTGGAAGATGAGCTCCATGAGCCAACCTTGGTTAGTTTAATATCATTGATTTTACTAGGTGGTAGAGTCTCTTTGCTGCACAGTTATCCTGCTGGGGCATCAGCTTTCTTACCTGTTCCTATCTATAAGTGTAGTAGAAGTCTATGGCATAGATATTTTTCATTTTTCAGGGGATATAGTAAGTCAGCTCAAATTCTAATTACGCCCCCACTTCCCCGCGCGTCGTATGCTATGTACCGACATGTTTGTAATCACTAATACTGTAAGCAGATAGGTCGTTAGATACTTATTTCATTAGGTTTATCATATTTATGTCTGTTTCTTAACGCTAACCCAGTCGCTTCTTATTTTTATCACGGTTATTTCCCATTTTAATTTTACGTCGTCCTGTTGCGTAATGTGTATTCTGATCGTAAGCGACACAACTTCTGCCTTCAAAAGCCTAAGCGATACTAACGGGGCGACAGGAATCAAGCTTCAAGGCGTCGATAGTTTAGGTAATTTCTTTTTACAGTGAAAATAATGGTATTTTAAAAAAAGTAAATAACATAAGCACTGCTTTAAAGTTAGTTCAGTTATTATGTAAAGTTTCATGATCTTATTTAAAGTATTTTATGAATAACGGCGGTTTATTGTTCAGTTTGGAGGTAACTTTGGATTTTTTTTTCTATCGAGAAAATTTTACGGAATCGTGTTTTCGTCTAACATAGTCCTTAACATTAATCCTCAAATTTACTATATATTTATTTCAAAATTAATGCTGCAATACTTTCGGCATAACGGAGGATCTTGCTAAGCCATTTGAGGTTATATTTCCCCTTAATAGATACTACTAATGAAATTTCCGGCTTCAGGTAAGAGGTATGAATTATTGTACTCTACTCTTAAGTAAGGTAAATTATTTTATTTTAAACTTTTTTTATACTTACTAATTAATTGATTTATAAAATATTTTATCTTAATGAGGTGTAATTACATCAGCTGGAATATTGAACCACACTCTAATATTGTAAAAGAAGTTAGTCATAAGATTCCACGTACCGAAATAAGAAAAGGGTTTCGAAGTATATGTGCAGTAAGGCCTTACTTTCTACTTATTTCTTGTCTTCTATGTTCGATACCTATCTATTGCTGATGTAACCAGTGGTAAAAGCATAAATAACTTTCAATAATTGTTCTTGTAATCTATATTGATCAAAAATATTCTGTTCCATTTTACTTATTCTATGTAGAGCACTTATCTCGGAAGCTGTGTGTCTGTGTATCTTCTCTCTAGTAAGCTGAAATGGCAATGGGTAAGCCATGTAGCTAGAAAAACTGACTTCTGTGGGAAAGATAGGTTCTTGAGTAGCAGTCTCGTACGGGTAGGCAAAGTGTACTCGTAGAACAGGCCTCCACTAGATGGAGTGACGACCTTTTAAGACATGCAGCAAGTCGATGGATGTAGATGACTCAGGGCCAAGCTTTGTGGCATTCCTTGGGGGTGGCTTATGTTCAGCTGTGGATTTTAATATGATGTAATGATAACATCTAATGAAGTCTAATGAAGTCAACGCTCCGTCCCCCTCGTGCTCTAATCCAGAATCCCGAAACCTTTCAACTCGAGTTACGTAACCGCTTTCAGTGCCTAGAAGATTGCAATGCAGTGGACGATATGAATGACAAGCTCGTGGAAACTGTCCATGCGGTCGGAGCTAAGTTCTGCAAGACCCGCCGCAGAAGAACACAAAAACTCTCCGATCACACACTTAATCTCATAGCTGGTAGACGGGAGATGAGGCTGCAATCGTCAACAGATTTGACAGCATACAGGTAACTGAACAGACAGATCTCCAAATGCATGCGGCGAGACTTACGCAACTTTAATACTGCTCATATTAAAGAAGCGATCGAGCGGAACCAGGGCTCCAAAGTCTTTGCCAGAGATCTGTCTGCCAGAAAGAGCCAACTGTCAAAGATGAATACTGAGTGTGGCAGCATCTTTCCTCCACGGTGGCACTACTCCGGAGGCGTGGAGCAGAAGTGCGGTGGTCTTGTTCTTTAAGAAAGGCGACAACGCTCTCTTGAAGAACTACAGACCGATTTCCCTTCTGACCACGTCTACGTGTCGTTTTCGAGAGTCATTACGAATCGTCTCGCACGCAGACTCGACGACTTTCAGCCTCCTGAACAAGCCGGTTTCCGAAAAGGCTTCAGTACCATAGACCACATACATACCCTGCGGCAGATTGTAGAGAAGACCGAAGAGTACAATCTGCCGCTTTGCCTGGCGTTTGTAGACTATGAGAAAGCCTTTGATTTCGTCGAAATTTGAGCGGTGCTACAGTCCCTTCAGCGGTGCCAAGTTGACTGTCGGTATATCGAAGTGATGAAGTGTTTGTACAGTAAGGGCTACGATGGCTATATGAGTACAGAGCCAGAGCTCGAAACCTATCCAACTGCAGAGAGGTGTACGACAGGGTGACGTTATATCCCCGAAACTCTTCACTGCTGCATTGGAAGACGTTTTCAAGCTACTGGACTGGAAAGCATACGGTATTAACATCAATGGCGAGTACATCACTCACCTTCGATTTGCCGACGATATAGTCCTTATAGCAGAATCGTTGGAGGACCTTAGCACTATGCTCAATGACCTCAATAGTGTCTCCCAACGGATAGGTCTTAAGATGAACATGGACAAAACAAAGATCATGTTTAATGTCCATGTCACACCTATGCCGGTAGTTGTCGGGAGCACTATGCTCGAAGTTGTTGACGAGTACGTTTACCTGGGACAAATAGTCCGACTAGGTAAGTCCAACTTCGACCGAGAGATCAATTGACGGATTCAGCTCTGCTGGGCAGCGTTCGGGAAATTACGACACATCTTTTCGTCAGGTATACCTCAATCTCTAAAAACTAGATTGTACAACCAGTGCGTGTTGCCAGTGATGATTTACGGATCTGAGACGTGGTCCTTCACTGCTGCCGTATGAGGCCGTATGAGGACGCTCAAGGTCGCTCAGCGAGCTATGGAGAGAGCTATGCACGGAGTTTCTCTGCGTGATAGACTCAGAAATGAGGATATCCGCAGTAAAGCCAGAGTGACCGATATAGCCAAACGGATTAGTAAGCTGAAGTGGCAATGGGCCGGCCATATAGCTCGAAGAACCGATAACCGATGGGGAAGAAAGGTTCTCGAGTGGCAGCCTCGTACCGGTAGGCGTAGTGTAGGGCGACCCCCCACAAGATGGAGTGACGACCTGGTAAGACATGCAGGAAGTCGGTGGATGCAGTTGGCTCAGAACCGTGCTTTGTTCGTCACTTGGGGGAGGCCTACGTTCAGTAGTGGACTTGTGAATAATCTACATAACCTAAACCAAATTATTTCAGAGTTTTTACATGGCGCTTCTCTATAAGAACCTAGTGGGAGAGCGCGTCCTCGACGTAGATATGACGGTTTCACGAGCAACACTGTTCGCGCATTGTGCATCTTTGCGTCGCAAGCCAGTACCTGGGGCGGTCACTCTTTACGGCGCGAACATGGGTGACGAACCAGCGAGATTCTCCCTTAAGCTGTCAAAGAGAGAAGAAGGTGGTGATATTATGCAGTTTATTTTTGGACGTGACAGCAGTGGGTGAGTGAAATTTGGTAATTTTTATGATATCAATGTAAAATTTTCAATGATGGAGATAAAATATTAGTAGTGACTGACTGCGTGAAATCAATGAGTAAATTATTTGTCCAACAGTGGATTTTTAAGGATGGGATGTGGAAGACAAAAGAGGACACAATTTCGTGTAGTGTGATACAGTTGTAAACGAATGTTGTGGCACATTAATTTCTCTATCTATCCTAGATTAAGGTTCAGATTGCAGATTTATTGCCAGACCCATTTTACTTGAAGCGAGGCATTTCATTTTAGTCCTCACGGGTGACAACCCATCTGCATTTTGAATCGTAATCGTCCATTAGAAAAAAAACGATTACAATAAAGGATGTCATGAGAGATGCAGAAAGAAAGTCTTTGGATGCAGGTAACTCAGGACCGGAGAAGATTTACGCTTAGCTGTGGACTTATGCTTGGGCTCTAATGATGATGGAGATGATTACGAAAATAGAAGGAAATCTGTTTCACTACCTTGAATAATACAGAATTTTCAGTGTCAAAACTGTACTGAATAAAAATCAATATGTTTACATAAATAAATAACAGATTATACGTAGTAGGCTATAATGATATTATGGTTTTAGCACGAACGGGTCAATTTGACAGGAGAAGGAGCATATTTACACAATACTAGCGTAAAATAGCAGCTAAATTCTGTTGTGTTTCCTAGGGTGAGTGAGGTGAAGGACCACGCTCTTACTGAATAACAGCGTGTAGTAAATTTTTATCCTCAGGGATGATGATCAATGCATCTGCATTTTTATACACACTGCATTGTCACACTTATTCTATCAAATATATTTAATCAAATTTGAATACTAAAATAGTTAAAGCATAAAGTTCAATTTAATTAAAAATTCGCTACTTATTTTATAGGAACATCATCGTAAACGGACGAGCAATGTATTTAGAGGGTGATATCAGGCCAGTGGTTAAACGTGTTCGACCCTACAAGACCCTTCTGCTCAATCTTCCACCGAAGTCTTTTGGATTTTGGGTCTTAGCTAACACTCAGGTTGAAGCCTGTCATTACAAAGATGAGTCAAAAATGGAAACTGAGTTCATTGAAGCTATACCTATAGAAGATGATAATACAGAAGAAATTATGAACGTCGTTAAAAGAAGACGATCATCTATAAGAAAACGCGATGTTAGTAATTTAGATATGTCGTTTGAAATCATTGATGATGATTATACTGGCGTGTTATCATCACTTGATGTTGAAAGTAAAAATGACGCTTTACGTAGGCAAATAGATAGCCTCAATAATGAGTTAAAAAACTTTCATGAATTAGTGATTTCTAAGAAAGGTCAAAAAAATGATCAATTTCCAATGAGATTTAAGCGACAAGCAGTTGACAGAGAAAATAGAAAGCAATCGATAAATTACGGTACGAAATCAAGAAGATCTAAACAAATGTATGAAAAATCAGATTTTAAATCTAATTTAATAGACAAAATATTGCAGCTGAAAAATGAAAAACTGGCAAAATTAGACAAGGGTAGGTTTAGTAGAAAAAATTTCAAAAGATCTAACACTAAAGCGTGTTCCGATGAAGATTATGTTACTAACGAAGAAAAGGTATCTAGGAAACGTCGAAGCGTGATTAAGGAAAAAACTCTTAATAGTTTGGAAAATGCAATGAGAAGTAAAAACATAAAACATAGAATGAATAATGTTAAAAGTATAGAAGAGACGTCAGAAAATGAAATAGACATTAGTGAAGATCAGTTTGGTGTTGGAAATATTTTGCACAAGTTGAAAGGTACTTTGCGTCATTTACCAATAGAAATTGAAGAGAACATTGAAAAAGTAGATGATGGTAAGGAAGAACTATCTTCGAATACAAATGAAATAACATTGAAAACAAAATTATCAGATGACGGTGCAGTTATTAATATTAGTGAGAAAACAAATAATGGGTTATTAAAATCGACTTATGAAGATTTGTTATCTCTATTGACTGATTTAAATAAACATTTGAATAGGTTTTGGAGTACATTTACGTTATTAGAGTAATTAGTTAAATGATTTGTGCGCTTCATTTCGTTAATTTTGTAATTCTAAATAATTAATTTGACTGAAGTTGTGTAAATATTATGTTAAGTAGTAAAATTTGTTGATAAGATTAAGATTGTTTAACTCTGTTGTTTACTTCATCAATATTTGGGTCGTTATTAACCAGGAAACTTGTTCTTAAATCAAAATTGACCCACAGTAATCACCTTTTAAAGTGCAAGAGATGCTATTGAAGTCTACTGCAAGATTTAAGTTTTTCCAGTAATCTGATCAATCTGAATTGAGAATTTCCTGATTCTCAACACGCTGGGTAGGGAGAGTCGTGAGCGTAGAGTCGATACTGTACGTAGCAACCACTTGATATTCTGAGCTCCATCTGTCAGTTATAAAAGTATAACCCTTGCAAATGAAGTTTATATTTGAAATAAATATAGATATTGTATAATTAAAGTGAGTTCATTCTGTGTACGTTGTATGTTTTTTAAATCCAGTATTTAAAAAACATACAACAAAAATCTGCTAATAAAAAGAGCCGTATTAAGTGTACAATTAAACTTATAAATGTAATCATTTTATAAATAAAACAATAACTTGGTGGTACAATGTAATTTATTTATTATTTAACAACATGGTAGATATACCACTTTCACATCCACGGTAAAGTTTATATGAAAATGGATACCTCTAAACTTTTGTACGTAACTAATAAAGAAGATTAAATAAATGTAACAATGCATTGCAACATTAGATATAAATAAATCTGCAGCGAAAGCCTACCTTATGTAACTACCATAGTGACAGGTGTCGAAACGAAACTATTACGTATGCAGATAAATTACATGGTCATTTGGCAGTTGTTAGCCAGCAATACCACGAACAGAAACCTAACTTACCATCAACAACAAGGTTTCACAAAAGCTCAATCTGATTTTAATTACCTAAAAACATTTTCAACAATAACCTCTTTTTCGTTTTTCATTCATAACTCTAAGTTAAATGTAATCGTGGTTAAGCTACTAACCTTTTTATTATAACAATACAACATACTTATGAACCACGTTCATATCAGAATTAATGTTCTTTTTCAAAATCGATTTACATTTCTTTTTAAATATTTAATTCAATTACAGTAAATTTGCAATTTTAACACTATATGTCACTAATATTAAAAGCTAATGTAATAAATCAATGTGGCCTCTTTCTATCCTAATTAAACAATTTGTACGTTCGAGGAAAAACATTTGAAACAGTTGTCAACAACAATGGCGGGAAGAATTTTCAAATGGCAATACGAGTCTTCATTTCATCCCCCGAACGTACCAACAAACATGTATTTCACAACTGTGAAGACATTTCAATAAATCAAATTTTAACTTTCATGCATAATGTGGAAAAGTTTGAAAAAATCTTTCTAAAGAGCAAAAATTATGCAATCTGTGGCACTTCTTTGTCAGTTCTTTTATAAAGACCTTTTCACATTATGCGTTAAAGTGCCTCAAAAATTTCTAAGAAAGTAATACTGGTATTATATTGTGTATTGAAGCTCTTGTGTGAGTAGTATTAAGTGTCGTTGTCTCTAATATCGTCTATAAATTATTTTATATGAGTTGCTCGATTTCACTGTAATTGCAATTTCCCATAAAAATTAAACTTGTCACCGAACGCGTCCTCATAATGTGTCAAAAATGATTGTATGTTTTGTATTTTCTGATTGGTATCGAAAGGCGACTATCTTTGGTGAGTTTTTGAGATCAAATGGTTATGTATAATCCAGTTGTGTTAAATAAACGTAGGTAATATAGCTTTAAGTATTATGTTTAGTCGCAATTTTAATCTTATGTCTTTATTTACTTCTTTTCGTTTATAATTCCAATTTAAAAAATTCAAAATATTACTTATGGCTGTGTGCTATCTAGACAAGTAATTTTGTGAATATTTTACTTTTCCTCCTGTTACGTTACATAGAACAAACGCAACGTTTAATTTGAGTGAAACCTATCAAATACTTAGTGCAACTATCAGTAACGGACTATATTTTCAACAACATTCGTTTTTATAGCTTAAGTGTATGCCTTAACGGAATTTAAATTTATTAAATGATATTTAAGTATTGTGGCGAATATTGTATACGTTAAAGTTAATAATAATCTTCAAAATGTTTAATCGATGTCTGGTGATTGCTTTTTGAAGTAGTTTTGTTATCATTCGTAGTAAATTCTACTGAAATTTTAGATATCTATTAAAAATAACACTGGCACTTTGGAAATATTATCAAAGGTAATAGCTGAACTAGGATAACTAAGTACGAAGGAATTAAATCAGTTCGTAGACAGAGATGGCATCGTGGGTCAAAAGCCAAAACTGCTTTCTAAAATATCTAAATGAACAAAGATAATATATCAATAGATAACAATAGTAGTAGTATATAATATATAATTTACCCTGAGTACGAATGTCATAAGATTAATCACTCAATTCAACTGATTTTGCATTTGGTGAAATTCAGAAATTGGTCTCACGTCCCTTAACATGCCCTTCGAAATTATGCTACGGGCGTGAATATAAATCATGATCAATTTGTCTTTCGATTATAAATAATTTACAATTATGTCTACTCTACACACCTACCTTGTATAAACCTCTTTGTAAATTCACTATATATGTATAAATATAATAATAGGAAATCAATATTGGATTTAGAAAGTGCGAACACCTATTGGAAATATTGACGGTTTCGTTTGATATTACTTCACTCAATCTGTATTGTGGAGGTGGTAATATGATAATACGTCGAGTTATATCATTACTTCTAATATAATAATTTCTATTTAACTTCACCCAGAAGGAAACATTACATGAACCTTAAATATATAAAAACAAAATTAATCATGACAACCATTTGATATCACCCAAATTCCTTTGAAAATTTCGCAGTTAAGCAACCATGTACATACACCTAGATATATATTTAACACTATACATTGAACACCGAAAGCTTACATATAAACAGCTTTATAAAGCACTTAAACATAGTTCCAACTTAAGAAATAAATTAAAACGAATTGAGAGATAACGACACAAAAACACACCTCTCAAGAGCTGCCCTACACTTATTTTTAAACCCACATGCATATATAAAAAATTACAAAAGTAACGCGATCTGAAAAAACTTAGATTTTAAATTAGTGACAATTAGCGGATTTTACTTGAAATTTTACGTTATACTTAATCCTCGCTACGTACCAAAATAATTTTCTAGTTCACTATCACTACATAAATGAGAGTCAACAACGAAGGCCATAGATACACTACTGATAGATTTAAAGATAGTTGAAGATAAAAGGGATCTAGGGTAGTATTACATATTATAGAAGTATTGACTAATATACAAGAGGAAATAGGATAGGTTATGAATGATAGAGTTGAAATATTGGTCATGTCGGACACTTAATCTATTATTGTTTATTCCGAACAACTACGAACAACAGTTCAGCTAGAAACGCCATGCACGTATTATAGAGCTATCGCGTAATACATCGTAAACCTAGGCTAAACACACGTACACGGTGAAATTTTAAAATACATTAACAATATAAAGATTGTGAAATTACGAGTCATGAAGACGGACGGGTCAAAAAGCTTTTGGTGAAGCGGCACCCATCACTGATAATGTCTTGATGAAGAGAAGTCGCTAGCAACGCGTGTTCAAAATAGAATGTTCCTATTGAATGAAGTTACGAAGTGCTTAGAAAAGCGAGAAAATGTTGTGATTCTTATATATATGTGAATAGAATAAAACTTTCAGTAGATGATTTGAAATTATTCTTGTATTTACAAGGGTGTGTATCGAATATCTGTTTTAAGTTTAGATATTTGACAGATAACAGAATAAGGCCAAGATAAACTTATAACTAAAGTTCAAGCAGGCGTTATTGTGGCTGATGAATAATTATTACACGAAAGAACAGAAACTAAATTTGGAAATACATGATGTGCTGATTCCATTGTAGAAGTTTCCGTTGAAGTTTTGAAATCTATGAGAGCGGACACAAAGTGAACGTTTCGAGAGAATATTTTGTCGATTATTATATAATTTAAGTTTAGTGATAGATTCAAAGTCGAAGATCAAAGAAGCTAAAGTGAATAGTACGTAAAGGCGCGAGCGGTCGAGCCGCGTCCGGCGCACAGCAATAGTTTTATTTTATTTATATATCACAGCTTTTGACGATAACAAATCTTTTGCATTTGCAGCTTCACATGTGGAGACAAATGTTCGAACAATTAGCTTTGCGAACCTTTTCTTTTTCAGGCAGTGGTAATTACCGGTAAAATTTTTAAATTTTTTACGCTACATGTTTCAAATTTTCTCCCTTTTACGTATATATTGGATCACATTTCAAAATTTGATCCAAAATAAACGTCGATTTATACAACATTCCAACGTGTTAATCGCTCGAAAATTTTGCTCGCACAAACATTAATTTTACACCTAAGCATAAAACATCGATAAATCGTTAGATTCGCTTCGACTACACTAAATTGGTACAACAGTAAAACAACGACGGTTAAGTGTTATCTACATTCCTTAACACATTAATCTAAACGAACATCGATCTTACATTAAAGACATGCAGGAACAAAACTGACATCTATTACAAATCGGAAGAGGCGTTCGTTGTAACAAACGCCTTTCCCTATTTAATACACAGTAACAATATTGTACCTATTATTATTTTCGATGTGGGTTTTAAGGCTAGGTCCATTAAGGGTATGTACACCTAAAAGAACTTACTGACACAATATCGATTAACACTGCAGAAGCACGCATGCAAAAGATTTAGAGACAAAAGTCGGAGAGTTTGAAGTTATAGCAAGAGAAATACAGGAAACAGAGAGAGCGAAGAGCGGAAGCCACACGTACATTTTACCCTTAACGGTAAAAACTTAAGTACAGAGACACAAAGCCGAGTGGAATTTGGATGAAAACAAATATTTACTATCGAATACATTGTTATTTCAATGTAAGTTTATTCCAAAGATGAAAAGTAGGTGAAAGAAGGTAAACATTTTGATGAAGTCAGAATCTACACACGCGTGCTAAGAGGCTTAAAATACGTTATTTCCCTTTTATTCCTTTATTAATATTACATCGTCCTAGTTGCATTTAAATTTATTCCTTCTTTACACTTAAATAACAATATATCACAAGCATCAACATATAAAATTGGATTCGTTTCACATTTTCCTATATTCTGTTTTAATTTGTGATCGGTTTTTACCGACGACTTTTTGACCTAACGTTCGGAATGCGTTTCTGTTCTCAATGGTAGTATAGAGGGTCGCTCTCCACAATTTTTTTTATGAATGTATAAAAATATTATTGCTCATTATAAAGCACCAACGCGCCACTAGCCAACTACGTTCTGAAAAATTTAGAATTTAAATCTCTCCTACAAAAAAGTTTGAGCGCGAATGATAACGGACTTTCGAACGAAATATTTCTTTGTATCTCTTTTGTATTGCTTGGGGAGGTTATTGGGTGGAGGGGTGATGCGAGCGGGCCTGTGAAACGTCCTAACAATCAGCTTAGCAGCTACATCATGTATTCAGGTAAATATAATAAAGGTGGTGGAAGTTGCGGCGTCTCGCTTCGCTCACTGCATAACACACCTGTTCTCGATCTGCGACTTCAATTCGTTCACTTGCGTTTCGATGGTGTTTTTGAGTTCTGGAAGTTAAGAAAATAAAATTTTAGATTTCTGCAACGTTACGCAAGGCTCAAGGTGCAAATTAAATTATTTTCGGGATTCTGATTACAAAATGTTTTTATGACTTAAACGAATTTTTCAAATTTCGCCGTGACGGTCACCTCAAGCGAATTGTAAATGTTTAAAATTTTGAATTGATACTTAAATTAATTAGAAATTTTTAGGTTGACATTATACTAGTTTGATATTATGCATTATGACATGACCATGCCTGTATATTTTTTTTCTCTTTTTTACATCCTTGATTTATTGAAATTAATATACTTTTTTATCTAAATTTAATATGAAATGTTGTTAGAATTTTCTAATTTTAATTATTTAATTGCATATCGACGTAATATTTGCATACCGATAAATCGGTAAAACATGCATATTCTCACTTTGTCATAAGACCTAAAAATTTATCATGTTTTATGCAAATAAATATTTATTTATTTAAGAGAATCCATCGATCCGTAGGTATCGTAAGACGTGACTGGGAAGGCGGTTACAAAAATCTCAGGACCACTGTAGATAGCCATAGGTATAATATTTTTATTCAAAATTGGCCTTTACGTACTACATATACATACTTTATGTAATTCAAGAAACTACGCCATCGCCTCAACAAGTCTTTATTGCGGGAACCTTGTGAGAAACGGCAATCACATTTAAGACTACTTTTTAAAACAAAGTTTAATCTTATAAAATATAAGCATAAGTATAATAATCTGAAAAATGGTTGACCTTGCAGACAATCCCACGAACTACCCGCTATGTTCGACGTCAAACGAACTAATAGTTAACTCATTATATCAAAAGCGGTCAGAGCAGAAATTTCGAATTTATTAAAAACCCTTCTTTTTTTAACTCTTTTGATAACGATAACTATCGAAAGGATCAACCAATTTTGATGTAATTGGTAGCAATCAACGAGGTATTTTAAGGACAATTATAAAATTTATTACAAAAACTTACACTATAAATTATTCAAAAGTTATGTGAAGCTAAACACGTTTTTCGTCATCGATTTCTTTTCATCGCATTAACCGATTTTGAACGTCGATTTTTGACGTCATTTTCCATGTTTAATAGCTGATTAGATTTTGGAACTGATCGTTACATATATTGAAAAGTTATTAAAAAAATCATTTTTTTGAAAATTTTATTGAGATTTCTTAAAATTTACCTGTCCAAATCGGTTGAAACAGTATTGAAAGTCTAAGTTTGGTGAAACCCTTTCGAAAGCTATCACACACACACACACGTGTGTGTGTGTGTGTATGTGTGTTTAAAAAGGTGGTGGTGTGTGTGTGTGTGTTTAAACTTTTGGACGGCTTGACCTATTTTGACGAACACACACACACACATACGTAGTAACTTATGGATATCACTCATTTTGTCTAAGGTAAGGTCTTTTTCAGTGATGTAGCGGTCGCTACTACCTCAAGAGTTATTGCGGTTGGAGATATTTATTTATTTAACCATATCCATTATATTTAACATATTACATATCTGTAAAATTATAGTGGCTAAACATTTAGTTTCAACGGCGTAGCATGAGGAGTGGAAGGAATATGGCCCAGGATATTTTAGATAAGAAAAGGTAGCTCACCGTCTTAATTTTTTAGATGATTATAGTAAAAATCTCAAAAAATCTGAAAATAGCTCGTACTCAAAGTACACATTCTCACCAACTTAATGAGGGGAGAGATATATAAGTATTACATAATTTTAAAATAATATATAAAGATTTAAGAAGACTTTCACTTGGTAGTTTTATAGTTGGTGACTTAAGTTAATTGAGGGAGTGGTGGCATTATGTGCTCTGACGCCCCGGATAGCACTAACCCATGGTACATCACGATTTAACCGTACTGATAAACACACATTTCGCTTGATGGTTAGTGGATTCTGTGACTCATAAACATCTCTACATTTATGTACGAGCTACAAGTATTCGTTCTAGGCTAGGTGTTTACTTACGCCTTTACGATACAGTTGAGTTTCTATCTGAGAAAAAAGCAAAACTAAGAGCGATATTTTTAAATTACAAAGGTTAAAGAGTATCTTAGAAATGGACCACTTTGTGCACGAAATCTAAGTGTTATTACTTTACAAAAGCACTGTAAGGACACTCGATCTTTTCGTACAATCTTATCTTTAAATTGTAAGAATGTCAACAGGTTGAAGATCTAAGCAAAAGGTCGGAGCCATGCGACGTCAATTTGATTCGGCAATTTTAAACCTTTTGTCTTCGTATCAATCTGGACCGTTCAGATTCAATATCAATTGTAACTTTTAACTGGCCTTTTCAATTTGCTGGGAGTAAAAGGTTGGACATTGTTTATGTAAAACTAGAAACCCGCCCGGCTTTTCCTGGCGTTATTAAGATTTGTAATAATCATAGACCATTTATTTTATCAATTTTTCGATTTCTGAAAATAAAAATATATCCAAGTTTTTCAGACATTATGACCTAGATCAGTTCTGCCATAGTTCTTTATCTTTATCTGTTCATGAAGTTTCATTACACTCCAAAAATTATCCCTAACGGGCAGAGAGACAGCAAATGGTAAAATGTACAACTGACTTCAATATAAATAATATGATAACATCATCAATGTACTCGAAGTCAATTAAATACGCTGGTCAGATCTTAATCAAATTTATATGGGACTACACGAGAAGCATCAGCTTTTAAATAAAAAAAGAATCGTCAAGATCCGTTCACATAGAAAAAAGTCCTGAGGTAACAAACACATAAAAAACACAGTCGATTTGGTGGAGCTTTTTTTGTAGTCGGTTACAAATTTGAAAAAGGGTTACTTATGCCTTAGTGGCGTGCAATATATTTGCAAGCGTAGATGAGCGCGTGTCTTTGTATTTCTATGTCTATTTTTTGATTTGAAGAATTAAAATGCTGATGTGTTGTCACCTCCAAAAACCAGGATGAAATGCCTCGTTACTAGTAAAATATTCGAAAATTTCGTAGCTATGGCTAAAAATTTTAAATTATCAGTATCTTCATCATCACCATAGTCAGGCATTGTGTTCAATTTAGTTATGTCACTAATAGGAGCAACTTTATTCTGAGGGAGTGATGGTGGAGATCGATCTCTGGTTGCACACGTACTATAAAACTTTAGGGAAGTCCCTTATAACCCGGTATAATTATATTTATTTTTTAATTTTTTGTTATAACCCATATAACAATAATTTTTTTTGAAACAACGTTAAGCCAATAAACAGTCAAGTTAAAAGTTTACATACACACATTTCATAAGGACAAACATTCTGAACCGGAACAATTATTTGTAGGACATACAAATACTGTGTTCGCCATTCAGCACTGCCACTCATACTAAGCCATGAAGCCGTCTAACGCAGATTCGTGTTATTTTGACTTTATATTTGTAAAATTTTACTCACTGGTGAACTCGTCTTGATCTTCCAGCTCAGCCTCCGCAGCCAATTCCTCGGGAGTCTTTTTCTTCCTCATCAAAGGGTTGTCTGGTTCGGCCTGCTGTTGTTCCACCATTTCCTCCTTCTTAGGAATTTTGTACTAGAATAATAAAGAAAACAAAATTTTGATATAGGTTCGGTCGTTGAATTTAGTTTTCATAAACGGAAAGTCATTCACGCAAATTGGGCAATTTGGAGTTTATCTGGTATACCGATAACAGAGCTTAGGATAGAATGCCAATAAAGTTATAAGTACATGAACACACACAAACACACACACACACACACACACACACACACACACACACACACACACACAAGCACACACATTTTCATGTAAGAAGTTAAGTTTTTCAATTTAATTGCAGGCAGAGAGCCACTTTCACAAATGTCTTTTTCATAAACTAATGCAGAAAAAAATCTCAAATCGGTCCAGTTTTGGTAAAGGTAACAGGGAAATACACAATCATGATTTAGTTGATTTTTCGTAATTATAATATATTCGAGCTACAGTTGTCTCGCTCGGATGCTTAGCTTATTTACTTGTGCACAGCGCCATATTAATAGATAGTAAAAATAACTTATATTTAATAATAACATAATTTAAATTATAACTCCTTGTAGCCCGGCCATAAGGCTACAGTAAATAAAAAGCTTTTGGCTTTCTACGGCTAGATTATTTAAAAAAGAAACGTTAACCTCACAGTAGAATTTTCTGCTGCAACAAGGAAGTATTTATCATACTTGTAAACATACACCTTTGTAGGAAATACATTCACGTGTTCCATGTATTTAAGTTTTATATGAAGATAATTCTTTTATATGAAGCTTGTTGTGCTTTATCATCTATGGCTAGACCACCATTTTAGAAAAAATTGTTAACCCCTTAGTAGGATTTTGTGCTGTACCGCTGAAGTGTTTAACTTACATAAGGACAGAAACATTTGTGGGCCATACAAACACTTCCATGTACTTCAGTTTTACGTGTAAAAAAGGTATTTCCATTGATGGCTATTACTATTATAATACGAAAACACGGGAATCGTTTCTAACTTGTTAGCCATTAATGTCCTCCAGGCCGTATTTCGGTCACGGTGGCCAGTCTCAACGGAGACTAGCCATCTGCGCAGGACCAATATAGTCCGATTCCGATTATAGTCCGATGGGACGCTTAACCAACACGTGCTTGTCGAGGAACGGTAGTGAAATGTCGCCAAATCCCTGGCCTTGGTCAGTTACTGAGAATTTCTAGTCAGAAAAACTCAATAACTGATTTTTTTGTGCCCATCATGGAATTCGAGCCCGAGTCCGCATGATCAGTAGTCACGTTTGCGACCACTAAATTAACAAGACTGTCATATCATTTGCACTTTTCTATTATGTGTTGCAGGACGCAAAGTATTAGACCGGCGTTGACAGTGCCTAAATACGTAGGGTGAGGCTTTCCACGTCGTAAGGGTAGTCATGTTTTCCGCTTTATTCTATTGCTAGTTTGCGGACAATGTGCGCAATCAACACTAAACACAAAGGCCGCATTGTTTTGTCCTGCGAATCGCATCTGCATGACTAATGACACGTCATTTTAGACTTAAATATTTGACCAATTGTTTCGACGTATATGTTGAGTGTAAGTATGTTAGAGATACATAAATGTCCGTGTAGTGTTGATTGAGAATATCCACTAGCCCATATCTTCTCTTGCGTGTCGTAAGTGGCGACAGATGGAGACAGGCAGGAGATGGGCAGCAGCATCTTCGTGATAATATCAATTATAAAATAAAAATGAGATTGCCAGCCCGCTCGCCAAGCGTGGCAACTATGGCAAACATCCACCCATGAGCAACGACACAAACCAAACGGCCCCTAGTCCTCGGCAGTCTCGCTATTCCTGGCTACGGTGGCGACCATGGTAACGGCAGGGCAGGAAGTGCTGATAACCTCAACCTCAAGGTTCGGTTGCCACCTAAGACGACTCGACCTGGCAACATATAACGCACGCACCCTGAGGACTGACGAGAAGATCTTAAAACTGGAAGAAGAGGTAGACAAGACAAGACAAAAGACAAGTGTGCTGGCATATCATAGCATTATCCGAGGTCCGAAGAGAGAGGGAGGACACGATGATCCTCGAATCCGGCAACTTGTTCTATCACCAGGAGAGCGACCATTTGTACCAAGGAGGTGTCGGATTTATCGTCCCAAGTCTCTCGTCAACAACGTTGTAAAGATTGAGTGTGTGTCGACGAGGATCGCGTACCTGATTCCCGATGAGGAGGTGGAGAAAATGTATGAGCATATTTCTAGAGTCATGAATTCCTCCAAAACCCACTATACGGTCTTGACGGGAGACTTCAACGCAAAACTAGGCACAAGAGAAAGCGGTGAGCTGAAGGTAGGGAAATTTGGGATAGGGCAACCGAACTTATGGGGCCAGCAGCCGGCTGACTTTATAGAGAAGGAGGAAGTGGAACTGATAGAGCCCTGAGGGTTCGACAAAAAATGTGATTGACTTCATCATGACGACCAGACGCCAACTGTTCAGTGATCGCAAGGGTGATAACTAGCAGCGATCACCGAATGGTTAGAGGCACACTGAACCCAAACGTTAAGTTGGAGAGGTCTCGCCTAATGAAGTTAACGCTCCGTCCCCCTCGTGCGCTAATCTAGGAGCGCCTTAGGAGGACACCAGGATTTTAAATTACTAGCTGGCCCGGCAGACGATAATCTGCCCCTTCTGGTTGGTTACGTGATGAGTTTCATTTTTACACACACACACACACACACGCACATACACACATACACATATACACACACACACACACACAAACTTTTGTATAGACTTATTTAACGTAATACATATATTAGCTATCCTCTTTATCGCTTCGGGTTCGATCCCCACCGGCACCAATTAAATTGTTAATTGCAATTTTAAGTGCTGATTTACAACGTGCTCGGCGGTGAAGGAAAACATCGTAAGGAAACCTGCATGTCTGAGGCATAAGATAAAAAATATTTCTAAGACATGTGAAGTTCGCCAACACGCATTGGGGCAGCGCGGCGGACACTTCCCCGCCCTAAAACCCTCTCAATGAGGGGAGGCCTGTGTTCAGCAGTGGGACGTATATAGGCTGTAACTTTACTTTTTTTACTTTACTTTATGGCTTATAGAACCACCACTACCGTTATATGACGATAAACTTTAAAAAACATGACCCTTCTTTTTTAGTCTTAAAGTGCGTGTGAGTGCGTGTGTGTGCGTGCGTGCGTGTGCGGGCGTGCGTGTGCGTGCGTGCGAGTGCGTGTGCGTGTGCGTGCGTGCGTGTGCGTGAGTGCGTGTCTGTGCGTGCGTGGCATAAAGCGGATAAAAAGTTAATATGTTATAAGTAACATAATAATATTAACTTTAACTTTTAACTTACTACCTTTTTTATTATATTATATAAAATAAAATTATTATTATATTATACAAAGTTAATATGAAATAATAAAAATTAATAAGTTAAAAGCCTATATGATATACGTCATCATTTACTGTCTACACACCAAATTTCATGGAAATTCGTCCTATAGTTTTTGCGCGAATCATGAACAAACTATTTTTCTACAGATTTATTATATGTATAGCAGAGTAGAGTAGAGAGCAAATTGTTAAGCGAATCGGCCTTCTCCAAGTTGGTGAAAATTACATAAAATAATGCGTATCTATACATGTAATAAATAGATAAAGTTAACAAAAACTTGTTAAAAAAGATAGCCGCTTACGAATAAATATAAGTACAGGAATGCGACAGTATAGAATAAGCGACAGTAGCCTAATGGCAGGGCGCGGACCGCAAACTCAAAAGGTCGTGGGTTCGAATCCACCATTCGACTACTGTCGTGAACCACTCTTAACACAAGCATTTTCAGCTTACCAGGAGGGGTTAAAGGGAATATTAGTAATGTTAATTAATAGGATTACTAATATTTAAAAAAAATGAGTCTATCACGTGCTTAGCGGTGAAAGAAAATATAGTGAGGAAAAGAAAGGAAAAAATATACCTCACGTGTGAGGAATAAAAAAAATTAAAAACATGTGTAGTCTCGCTAACACACATTGGGGCAGCGTGGTACTTTTTTCCTCGCCCTAAAACCCTCTAAGAAATGAGACTAGGCCTGTTCACAAGAGTGAGATGTATATAAACTATAATTTTACTTTACTTAAAGAAATGTGACTTGTAAAATACTAGATTATAAAACCATGAAACATGTATGCTTCAACAAATACAGCCTACCTGATGGTAAGTGGACGCTGTGGTCCGTAAACATCTACATTTATTACCGATTAAGAATCAAAATGCAGATGCGTTGTTGTCACCCCTGAGGACTAAGATGGAGTGCCTCGTTTCTAGTGAAAAGAGTTTCTGGTTCTCTACACTCACCATACGAAATACAGCAGCATTAAGCTACTATTTCACGCTGGTATTCTGTGAGAGCGCGGTCCCTTCCCAGCTGAGCCAAAGGGTCTCCCCTTTTTACTGGAAACGAGGCATTCCATCTTAGTCCTCACGGATGACAGCGCATCTGCATTTTGATTTGTAATCGAGGATAGATGTAGATGTCTATGTGCCACAGCAACCACTTGTCATGGGGTGGAGTGGGTTCTCGTTTGTCACCCTATCCTATAAAAAACATTAACATTAAGCTACTATTTTAAGCTGGTATTATGTAATAGCGTGCTCCTACGATCGAGACAAGCCATTGGTGCTACAACTATAATATTGCTGGAGCGTGACTCTACCACGTACCTTACTTGCCTTAAAACCTCAGAAATTAGAGTATCTATTCTCCAGAGTGGGAAGTAACTTTAAACTTTACCTTCACTTACAGGAATGTGAGTCTTTGAACAGTATAAAATAAAACCTTGAAACATGGCTTCAATAAATATGTGTATGTCTATGAATTATTTGCAACGATCGGGTCGTAAGTCGTAACATGATGCGACGGGTACCGAATCCCGCTAACCGTTTCCGGCTGCCGTGTAATTTCCCAACGGGGTCTCCCTCCTTGCTTCGATTTACAAAACAGTGTTGGTATTCTCACATCAATGTCTGCTTATGA